GCCGGCCGTCAGCAGCAGCTTGTGGCCCGTGTGGATCTGGTCGAACGTGCCGCCTAGCGCCACCTTGCCGAACACGGCGTCGGCCGTGAGAGCGTTGGCCGGCTCCGACTGCGGGCTCAGCCAGCGCCGCGGCTCCTCGTTCACGCCACTGCACAGGCCGGCAGCCTCCTCCTGCACCGGCTCCTGCAACTGCAGCGTCACCGTCTCCAGCTGCGGCGAGCAGTTGGTGACGTGGCGGGCGGCGAAGTCGGGCAGGCCGGCGCACGGCCGCTCCAGCAGCAGCACGTCGACGGGCGCGGCCGTGGCGGCCGTCAGCGCGCGCCGCTTCAGGTGCGTCAGCAGCACGCGCACGTCCAGCTGCGGACACGCGCTCGTCGACTCGGCGTAGAGTCGGCTCACCACGTCCCAGTAGAGGAGCGGCGAGAACGGCGACAGCGCCGCGCCGCGCGACAGCGTCTCCTGGCCCGGCAGCAGCTGCACGTACAGCCGGCCGCTCACGCGCCGCGCCGCGCTGCGCAGCAGCTGGCGCAGCTGCGGCGCCAGCTGACCCAGCGATGACGTCAGCACCAACAGGCCCGTCGCGAACATGACCGCGCTGCAGCAAGGAGCGCTCGTTAATTACCCGGCGGCCCGACGGAAATGACGGCGCTTGGCCTGATTTATCGTGCCCAACACCAAAGAGCCACGCAGGTAATTAACTAACGCTCCTTGCACATGTTTCCTTGGGAGTAGCAAAATCGTCAAATTTAAAGTTTTCAGACAGCACTCTTCCCCTCTCACAGGATGGTTATTTTTGTTTCATTCCTAGGCAGCTCCTTGTTCTTTCATTCCCACTATGAGGTAAGTAATCCTTCTTGTTTTGATCCTTGCTGAAGAACCAAAGGGGTGGAGCCTCTGTGGCATACTTTTAACAAAGTCTGTATTTGCATGCTTGACATCACATCTGTATGTGACACAAAGTCTACCTTGAACTGAAGTGCCAATTATCCAGGTGATATGCTCATATCCTCTGTGGGTGGGATGAAAGGCTTTCAGGGCTCCACTTCCTATGCCCAGATTGTGAACCACTGCAAGCACATTGCAAATGCTCAGTTGTTTCCTTGCTGTTTTTTTTACTCACCAAGTTTCACCCTAAAGCTCCAATCAAGAGGTAGCAACAGGAAGTTGGAGGATTTATAGACATTCACTTACTGTGAATTGTATGAGACTGATTGCATGTTTCATGGCCTGAAGGCCATTGTGCCTAATGCTTTTATGCCCAATATGCCTTCTGAATACCACTGGCATTCATTTTCTTTGAGGATGCAAGGTGGCACAAATGACACAAACTCAGTAGTGATACTCAGAAACTGAACATGCACAATGCAATCAAAGGATACAATCAGGGTGCCTGATGGCATAGGAAGTGAGAGCCTCGCTAATCTACACACCGGTGCAATTCTAGCACTTTGTTTCTCATCCCCTGACAATGTTATAAGCCAATTCAATTTCACCTACTTTGTTTTTCACATTCCATATATGGTTTATCTGATACCTAGGTGGCAACACAGGCTGCTTGCTAATGGGCATCTTAGTCTGGTGGATGCAAGATTTTGTGCTCTTAGATATCAATATATGACTCCTAATGGGAGCAGCAAGCCTCAAGCTGTTGCACCTTCTGGCTTTATTTTGCCCTGACACAAAGAGGCAAAATAAGCTTTCCCAAAAACTGTTCTTGTTGCAACCTGATCAAGTACAAGATATTTCATTTTACCTAGTCACAATCCTGGAGTACAAAATCTCCTGGTATACATAATACCAGGAAACATTTATTTTTCCAACACTGCTAACCATCCCCTTTTTAGCAACCTGGCAAAATTAGTTGCCAATTGATCTTAAAGGCATATCATAATATGTTCACAGAAACTAGGTGTGAATCAATATATTTCAACTGCACTGTACATAAATTCAATGCTTTCATCTATGGATCACTTCCATGACAATCGTGTCAACCTTGGGCATTAGCTCAAATCAAAGGCTGAATAATGTGTCCAGGGTTGCTGTGACTAGCAACAAGTAGTGTCACATCCATGAAAAATATACATACAAACTGTATACCAAGTGTTACATAACCCTCCTTGACACTTGTTTCACCCTATCATGTGTACTTTGCATGTAAACCAAACAAATAATGCACAGTGCACCATATTAGGCCAGGAAACAGTGATTTGGCCATGTACACCTCTACTTACACAGAAGCTCTGGATAAGTCAAATAAAGCACAAACCATGAAAACTTAAAGATGTGTTAGTGCAGAAATAGATCAGTGATGCAAAGCTTGCTGTGGTATCGCAGCATATATTGTATATGGTCATGTATCAACATATCAACATATATGGTCATACATATGAAGTGCACAGGCATTGATGGCATGTGCACAGCCACCCCTCGATGCCAGTAGATGCAGGTGAATCAAATTACCATGGCCACTAGAAGTTTGTGTAAAAGGACACCACCATCACCGAACCAATGCTGCTTTTAAAGGCTTGCTCGTTATCACGGTTACTACTTTATAAGAAAGCAACTCACTAACCTCGGGTAATTACTCAACAATTGCACATTCATGTGGGCTGTTTCGAGCTTGCGCCGACATTATCGAGGAAACTATCGACGTACCAAAAGGCGATGCCTTACCTTCTTAGACACTAAGGTATGGCTGTGGCTTGCAGCCCAGAAAATGTGACTTGACTTGGGTATGCACCTGGTAACAATAGCGTCCAAAGCCTGCACAACTCCCCCTCCTATCCCCGACTCCAATGTTACGTAAATTAGGACCGCGGCCTCTCTATGGCTAGATAGATCCTGCGGTTCGCCGCTGGTGCGCCACTGTGCACGCGTGCCAAGGCGGAATATAAGGGGAGGGATTAAATATCTGACCGAACCTATTAACATCCCCATGCTGCAAGCGTATGGCACAGATCAACACCAAGCCTCCATCATTCGATGCCACTTGGTCAACAACCTTTCCAAAAAAAAATACGGTGACCTTGGATCAGGCTAAAAGAAAACAAAAATACTAAAAAGGGAAAAGGGGCTGCGGCCAACTCCATGCCATAAGTCTTTGCCGGCGATTAGCGCAAAACCTTTACCAATTGCTGTGCCGCGGTCAACAACCTATCATCTCCAGAACATGGTGACCGCGGACCAGGTCAAACATCACCAAAAAACGGCCGAAATTATCTGAAATTAGTTTAGAGACAGCCCATGCTCCGATCCTATGGACCCGATCGGTACAAAGCCTTTACCAGTCGATGTGCCATGGTCGACCAACTGTTCTTTCCAGAACATGGTGACCTTGCTTGCGGTCAAAGGTCATCATAAGCAGCCGAAACCACCTGAAATCAATTTGCAGACAATTCCATACCCGAGCCTTACCTGAGACGGCTTGGCACAAAATCTTTACCAGTCGATGCGCCACGGTCAAAAACCTATTCTTTCCAAACCACAGTGACCTTAGTCCTGGTCAAAGATACCAAAATGGCGAAACCCACCCGAAATTATCAAAAATGTTTAGGAGTAGAGGTGATTCCGCTCCAAGTAATGATTGCACATCAACTGGCAAAGGTCATGCTGATCAGTGCCGTAGGCTCGGAGCATAAGGTTGTCTGCTGCCTATGTCGGTGGTTTGGGGCGTTTTTGGCGACCTTTGACCAGGCCCAAGGCCACCATGTTCTGAAAAGGATAGGATATCGACTATGGCCGATAGTTTTGTGAATGTTTCATGCCGATCGGCGGCATAGCATCGGAACATGGGCTTTCTGCAACCCTGTTTTTCCGGTTTCTGGTACTTGATGATCTTTGACTTGACCCAAAGGTCACCATGTTTCGGATGAGATGGACTTTTGACCAGGCGGCATCCAATGGCAAAGATTTGGTGTCGATCCCTGTCATATTCTCGGAGTATGGGGTCGCCAATAGGTTTGGTCAGCCGTTTAGTCCATACCTGTGATTGGTCGCCCATCGTGTGACTATTATGCGACGTTGACGTGATAACGTGGTGGCATGACAATTTGGGGCGGTATGTCGGGGAGGTACTGAACTGGGGGTCCGGGCTGTTGCTCAACCGTTTTTGCACGAATATCAATGAAGCTGGCATAAGAAGTCTAAACTGTTTCCTCACTTTTCTGACCGTTTACTAAGCATACTTTTTATTGTGTTGTGTGCAAAAGCTTGTCTTGAAAATGTAATGTTTCTGTTGTCACGTGTGTTTTACGGGCAGCACGCTTCGCAGAGTGGCTGTTTTTGGTTCCTCAGACAATTGCTTGCTTCAGTTTGCTTGCTTGGGTATTCCAAGACCATGGTTTCTGAGCACACGATTGGCCATTATGAACTAGCAGGTCAAATGGTATAAGATAAGCAGTCAACAAAAGTTGTGGGCAGAAAATGCCATGTCAGTTAGCAAGGATTCCACTAGCATGAAGTTACATTTACATCCTGCACACCCAGTTGGATTTAGTTTGCAGTGAGATACCCTGCCAATGATCAAATATTAGCTAAGACTCTAGAGGGAGTCCCAGGAACAAATTTACCAAGTTAGGATTGTAGATTCTTTAGAGTCCTGGTTCTTTTTTCATTCTTTATTTTTCAACTAGACCTTTTTCTGGACTTTTGTTAAATGATCTTCTATAAGCTAGAATCTAAATTTTTCATTTCTTGTGAAATGGCTGTGTGAAGGTTTCTGGGAAAGTCTTATCGAGATGTTTATGTCAAAGTTCCTCATGGATCTTAAGAGATGTTGTTGAATCCGTGCTTCTGGATCTTCTAAGATCCTGGGCTCACTTTAATTTTACCAAGTGATCTTTCAGAGTACATTAATAGAGCCTACAAAAGTTTTCATATATGAGTTTGAAAGTCAATACCAAGTGTGGTAAAGTTGTTGAATCCACAAATGCTAACGTCAACAAGTAGCACTGTTTAAAAGATTGTGAATACTATGCCTTTTTCTTGCATATTTAAATGTCATTAAAGCTCTCACTGGCACTTAAGTTTTAGCTCAGTAGTAAAATTATGTGAAGTTTAGCTTTGGGCATTGAAAAGCATATTTCTAGTGCTGTTCATCAGCTTTTGGCACACCAAACTGTTATTTCCTTACCTCAGTTTTTAGGTAAGTTAGGATTATATAAGCATAGTGACTCAGATTGGGTTCCTATATTATAAGAAAATAAGCATCTGTTATCATATAAAACAACTGGGTTATTCCACACCAACTCAACCAGTTGAGTACATTCTACCATTTCAGATCTGTGCAAAATTCGGTCCTAGACATAATCTTGAGATCCAATCATGATTCTGTAGTTATTAGACCTTTGTGCCCAGCTGTTCTCTGTTGTTGATGATGTCAGGAAGTTACATAATGATGGAAGGTCTCTTAATAAAATGGTGGTGAGTGTGAAGCCATCACACATTTTGGTGTCTTAAAATGACAGTATGTAGTTCATGCAGTGCCCAAGTGAGAGTTGAAAGGAAAATTGAATGTCCTGCACAGATGCAAGAATACTATTCTTTTCCAATGCAGGGACCCAATTTCCTCATTTGATGATTCCTAAAGTTCTAGAAGCCTATTTTCAGAATTGGCACTGAATACTACTTAGGAAACTGTCAATAGAAAAGTGGGGACCCATTAAACACCGCTGCGGTGCAAATGCGATCATAGCCAGGCGGACGGGCACGGTGCGGCGCCGCTGGCCGGCCGGCCGGCCGGCCCCATACTATGCCCAGACAGGATGACGCGGCATTAGTGCTACGGCAAATACTTGTACTGGCAGGAGTGCTACGACATCAGTGAAATGCAGCATAGTTCTGCAAGAGGCTGCTCAGACATTAGTTATATGTGACATTTCTTCAGTACTTCTACTGCAGACTTAGAATAAACAACATGAGTGCTAAACGACAAAATTTATGGTTCTAAAACTTATGCATGTCATTACATCCATGGCAACAGTTTATACAGTCTTTACTCATGCACAGTATTTCTTCTACTGCAGAAATTAATACACGACATGAGTGCTACACGGCAAAACGTGTGCTGCATCCCGTCATTACTTATCCTGCATACTTATATGGTATTGTCTTATAGGCGATATTACTGCAACTGAAACGAGTTATAGGCGACGTAAATGTTACGCAGCACAGTTCGAAAAGTAACAGAAAGCTTTGTAAGCTGTGAAATGTATTTGCGAGAAACGTCATACATACAGATAAGATAGTTCTGCGTGTCTTGTCCCTCGAAGAAAAATCTGGGGAAAGGAGAGATGTTATGTACTTCGCCCACATGCGTTAACCGAAGCGAACAGGGCAGTAAATTAAAAGTTCAAAACTGCATGCCGATCCCACTCGACTTTTCAGGTTCTTTTCAAACGGCGAGCCGCGGTTTTTACAAATCATCAACATCCAGGGTTTAAAGCGATTTTTACTTCTTCGGCCAACACTTACATGCGACACTTGTGCAACGCCGTATAGACCACAGTCCGCAAATTGCAACCGCCGGTACTCTAACGTCAGCACAATCCTAGAGAGGACGAACACATGTGAGGACTTGGTTGGGCGAAATCAGACTGCCAGTGCGCACTCCGTGGTGTCGATGCATGATTGCTGCTGTAAATATCGTGATCGACAGCCCCGCGACGAAAATAGTTCTATGGGGCATTTTCTCCGGCTGAAAAACGTATGGTGTACTGTCATAGTGCTGCAAAATAAGTTTTGGGGCTAAGTAGATAAAACAAAAACGGTCAAACTTGCTCAAGATGCATGGAACAGGATGTTTGCCCCGAATGTCGCTCACTTTCCCAGATGAAGGCTGGATGGAGTCCCCGACTGAATACGAAGCTACACTCTTGGCTCGGTGTTCACTGAAACGTGATATTACTTTTACGTGAAAAGTTATACCCATCATTGAGATTTTACGGCCCAAACCACAACTTTTGCTCGTACGCCAAACGCTACAAACACAGTCACGGAACATAATACGTAAAGAACTTGCATCAATACCACGCACATTTAATCGCAGTATTGCCCAGTTCGGATTCCTTCCCAACCTGTGTTGTTTGTATGCCCCGGCTAGGTGTCCACGCGTTTCGCGCACCGCGGCAGGCATTAGCAGCAGAAGTAATGTTACGTGTACGCCAAGACTACACATGTTTTTGCGGTTTAATTTTTGTCATGTAGCGCTAATTTTGCGTATAAGTGTTTGCAGTAGAAGTAATGCCGTTACTGAAGTGTGAGTTTTGTCATGTAGCACTAATGTGTATAAGTATTTGCAATAGACGTAATGCTACGTGTAAACCATGGCTGTAAAAGTTGTTGGAAAAGAAGTGACGTATAAGTTATTGAGGCATGAGTTTTGTTGTGTAGCTTTTTTGTCGTGTAGAAGTATTGTCAGCAGAAGTAACGTCGAAGCACCCCTGTCGGCATGAGTTTTTGGTGGAGCACTAATGTTGTGAAACCCCAGCATCCCCCCCCCCTCGTGGTAATCCAGAAAGGCGACTCCAAACGGCTGGAATCGATGTTCGAAGGACGATAGCGCCGCGTTATCAGGCTTCTCCCTCCACACGCTACGGCGTCGGTCGTCTCAACTGTGGCTGACATGGCGGCGTGAGCTTCGTCTGAATAGACGGGCCCACGTTTGCAGTGATTTTAAGCGTTTAACTTCACGCACTTCAAAAGGCAGGGTTTGAACCTGTTAACCGGAAGCTTACAACGACCAGTAAAGGGCCGCGACCTGTCATCAAAAGTATTTTGCTGCCTACCGTTCGGTTCTGCGATTTGTATCAGTCACTTGCAATCATTAGACAGAATGCAGAAACCAAGTCCCGAACAGGGATTTTGCGGCCTTGTGTCTGCCACATATGAACCCGTTGACTGAACTGGATCCGTCACGGTGAGGCCCATTGAGCCTGCTCACATATCCGGGAGCGTCAATCAGCGGGATCCCTTCCAGCCGGGCCCCGGGCTCAGCTCCGTTTGCGGACTTCCAGACAACTAAGCGTCTCATTAGCAACCATTTTCAAGCTGGATCTTCATCACCGTCCACACAACTGCGAACAACTGCACTTATCGCGATTGCATTCTGCACCCCTGGAACTGCCTGTCAGTCGACTTCATTTGTTTGGGCTATTTTGATCATATGGGCCATGACTTCAAACCTGGAGGCAAGTTTCTGGATCGCAGATGGGGACAGTTTAGGAATCGGCAGTTTGGTTGCATGCTGTGTGGATGGGTTGCTAAAGTTGGATGCAAAATCCGCTATCAAGTTTCTGTAGTTTCATGCCTAAGGATGTTTTTCCGTGTCTTATTCATCCAGGTCAAACCCTTATGACACTGAAGGTGTTTTCCTCATTTTGGCTTTCGCCGACTCCATCTCCATCGACCTCCGACTCCATGTCCGTGTTGTGTTCGCTGCCCCTGCTTGAGATTACCTAGAAATCAATAATTTCAGAAGCGCTCTAACCATTTTGTCTACCCAGTCAAGGCTTACACCGCTAACTGTCCACACCGCAGCCCTCTCGTCTTAAACCATGACTCCAGCCGTGTGGAGTCGTTTTTCTGGATCAGCGCGGTAGGGGGCCGACAACTACCGGTAGCATGGGCGCGGCCGGACCGGCCGGCAGGGGTCCACGGGGCCGGATGGCCAGGGGTGCCGCGCCGCGCCGGTCTGCCCGGCATGATCGCACCCATACTCTTCGGGTGTATAACGAACCCCCACTTTTCTTTTGATGATTCAGTCAATCAATTCCCAACGAATCCGAGGTGTCATCGAATTTTGATTTTTTTTTGGATGAGTTAAGCAAAGAAACCAATAATGATGCCAATGATGCAATTCATATTTTTATTGTCAGCTATAACATTGTGCTCCCAACATATTCTGTTATACTACGATCGAAGAAAGCGCGATGTTTGCGAAGTTGTCATCGTTTTACGTAGCGCATTTCAATCATTACGTCATTTCTGACGTCATCACCGACGGAGAACGGCTAGGTGCAGAGGCTTACAGAATAATGTATCGTGATCAAAGCACGAGATAACGAAGAATACCAAGTTTTGTCCAGATCTGAGCGGGTTGTATACAAAATTGCACTTCGAAACATCGGAAGTCCTTTTTGATAGTTATGTCTGTATATGATAAGGTTCTTCATTATCTTTCAGTTCAACTAGAAAGAGAGAAAGCAAATAGCATTCAACACGATTCACCATGAGGATCATCACTGGAGCTACCGCTGCTTTGTAAGTATCTACTATCATACCTGGTTGGTATGTTACTATTGAGGCTCTTTGCTGCCTGCTTGCTCTCCATTGTGTCCAAGCTATATATGTGTAAGCGCTGAAAGGTGAGTGTACTATATTTGTATAGGGTTTTAACTGAAATATGCATCTTGGAGATCATTCGGTACAGTTCACAGTCCCGCCTTTAGGACCCAACGCCCTCACGTTTCTGACGTTTGCGCCTGCGGAGATGTGCAGATTTCCAAGGTTTCCGAGGCGTGCGTGACGCCATAGAAACGTCATTCAAATCCTGCCGCCGTATGGGCCATGCAGCGCTCAAGGCTAGGAGGAATGCGATCGTCGAGTCGTTCAGATCTGTAAAGCAAGCTAGAATCGTTGAATTGTTCCTGTCTGGTGTATTTCTACACGATTGTTGGCATCAACGGACTTCACTTTGGCGCTCAACCGATGCAATGTGTTCAGCGTAACTTTCGAACGCGAATCACGTTTTGTGCTACATAGTACATAAATTTGGGCGTCGGTACTAGTAAGGACGGAGATAAGATCGAATCGTATAACGAATCGAATAATGGAATAACGTTAGAAAAGCGCCGCAACCCACTATGTGAATACAAGTAAAAAACAAATTCACGGATATATACAAGAACAGCACGAGGAAGTGCCAAAAATGCGCACCCATAACGATATTAGGGTTTCGCAAATACGCACCGATTTCCGAGCTACCTCTCGACAAACTGAAGTACTGCAAGTGAGCCAGCCCGTCCGCTATAGTAGCAGTTTTCGCACGACCAGTCTGGTAGCGACTTTGACGTCACGCAAAGTTTCATGGCGGGATCAAACGATAACGTGTTGAGTAGCGCATGTACTTGATAGTGAAGTGGTGCTGTCTAGAGCAATCTTTTGCACTTAGAAGCGTACAAAAAGTAACAATTGAGCTTGTTTCATCGTATATGATGCTTGCATCACTTGCCTGTAAGTGTCAAACATTGTCTTTAAGGGGGTCCGGCGCTCAGGGAGAACGCATTACGCTGATGTTCAGCCTTCTGATAAAAGCCGTCAATAATATCTGTAAGAGGGAGGGGGGAGTGAGAAAATGGGCATGAGTAATTGTCATTGCCACCATATTCCGGAGGGAACAGTGACCCAGGCACGCAGGAACGGTTGACCTGTGCAAACATTTTCATCGTCGTATCATTCATAGTCAAATAGTCGTTCCAAAACAACAGCGCCAGGTCATCGTTTGAGTACATAAGGCAATCAGACACATGCTATGGGATATGCTATCGAGAGTCTGACACGCTCTCAGACTGGGCCACCAATATTGGCAATTGGTCAAGGATTCCTGCTCCTCTTCCAGGCCAAGAAAATTGGTTATACCGCCTGTCCTCAATGTGTTTTTTTTTTTGTAGAAAAGCGCGTAGCATGTCACAGCAACAACTGTGTTGGTCGTAGCTTGTGTATAAGCTTGTATGTGTTTATACATGTGGTTATTTCCTTTTTCAGGAGTCGACGAGTGTCTGCTTTCGCCATTGGGAGCAACAACTTTGTCAAAGGTATGGCTATTGATGGCTCAGTTAGTACGATTTGATGTCGTGTTGCGGGAATGACATACATTCTGGTGTGTCACTACTGACTGCATGTCTGTGATAGTCACTGTACATTCCTGTGGTCTACTTGCGCACAGAGTGCATGCGTGTTCGCGTCAGGTGTGGCTCGTTCTTGTCATTAACTTTTGACTTGTGGTGCGGCGTGCTATTTTCTTCGGGCATCGTGTCCGGTAACGAGCCATCTCTTTACCTTACTGCTATCTGTTTTCTGCTCTGCTACTTTACTTCCGTCTTCCGGATTCTGCTGTGGCTTCATGAGGTGTTGGGGCCGCTGCCGGCGTCTGAGTGGGCTGAGGTCGGGGCTGGGACCGGTGCGCGTGTGGGTTTGGGGCTGAGGGTGGACCGTGACTGAGCTCCGACTGAGGTGTGGCTAAGTCACACAGGGCCGGAAGTCGGTTATCTGAAGATGGCTAGAGTTTGACGTAGTTTGGTACATCAATGTGACTGATTTCTGACCAGTTCCCGATATGCTGGCTGGTGTTGAAGCCCGACCTAGACAGACCAATCGGACCTAGACTAGTCAGATTAATGTGGGATTAATATATGACTGGGATTGCGGTCTGCTTCAGTCTGAGATTGTATGAGTCTGAGATCTGACTGAGTCTGATGCGTGACTGACATTGATGTGTGGGTCTGAAGTCTGTTAAAGCCAGGGCTAATTTAGCCTGAAGTCTGCCAAAACTGAAGTCTGACATTCTGAGATATGGCCAGGACTCAAGTCTGATTGAGACTGATGTGTGACCAAGGCTGGAAATCCGACGGTATCAGCTCTGGCTGAGACCGAAGTCAGACTGAGTACCTGATTGATACGGAAGCTGGATTCGGTCTGAGATTCGACTAAGAATTAAGTCTGAGACTTGGGTCCAAGATTTGACTGAGAACTGAGTCTGACCTAAACTGAGCTCTGCTTGCGACTGAGGTATGACAGACTGGCGCCTGAATGAGTCTGACGTGTGACTGGGTGCGATCGACATTAGGCGCGGTCCGAAATCTGACCGAGCCTGAAGTCTGAATGAGGCTGAAGTCCGGCTGGGACTGAGTCTGAGGCCCGGTACTGGCCGAGCCGGCGGTCTGACCGCGCGCGCCTGCTGACAGCGGCCGGCCGCGGCCTTAGCTCGGCCCCACCAGAGCTGCCGCCCTGCGATTTCACGCCATCCGCCTACCAGGTACCGGGTGCGGCCGCGGGTGCCACTAACGCTCCGGGCAGTAACGGGCAGTCCGGGCAGTCCTGCGGACTCCGACAGTCGGCCGTCCGTCGGCCCTCTAACCTGACGGCGGGCCGCTTCTAACGCCCCGGGCAGTAACGGGCAGTCAGGGCAGTTCTGCTGACTCCCCGATAGTCGACCGTCCGTCGGCCCCCTAACCTGACGGTGGGCCACCTGTAACGGGCCGGGCAGTAGCGTGCAGTCCCGGGGGCAGTTTTGCTGGCTCGCTGACAGTCGGCCGTCCGTCGCCGTCTAACCTGACGGTGGGCCGCCTTTAACGGGCCGGGCAGTAGCGGGCAGCCCGGGCGGTTCTGCTGGCTCGCCGACAGTCGGTTGCCCGTCGGCCCTCTAATCTGACGGTGGGCCGCCTTTAACGGGCCGGGCAGTAGCGGGCAGTTCGGGCAGTTCTGCTGGCTCGCCGACAGTCGGTTGTCCGTTGGCCCTCTAACTTGACGGTGGGTCGCCACTAACACTCCGAGCAGGCGGGCGGCGCTTCTCAGCGACTGATACATGCAGCCGTTCTCTAGCCCTGCGCCGTTTGCCGTCTGGGGGCGCTGCCACCCAGCTTTGACGCGCTGGCCGCTCCGCGTCATTATCGCCGCGCGTAGAACCTCTTTGACAGCAGACGTACTTGCCTCCCCTGCCGGTGGCCTCTGAAGCGGATGCCTGTGAGCATGCTGAGCGCTGGCGGGCCGACAACGGGCCGTGCGGGTCTGCTGAGAACACTCCGCCCTGGGCTAGAGTCGCGGCCACCCGACAGCGGACCGGCGGCAGTGCCTACCGAAGAGCTCTCCTCTCCCACCTGTCGGGGTTGACGTCTGCTCGTGTGTGCAAGGTTCTCCTTAGTAGTGGTGCGCCGGTCGCGGTCCGTCGGCCATCTAACCTGACTGTGGGCTGCCACGGCCCGGGCAGCCACTAGTAGTCCTCCCCGCGGTCCGTCGGCCCTCTTACCTGGCTTTGGGCCGCCACTTACGGTCCGGGCAGCCACTAGCGGTCCTCCCCAGTAATGATGCGCTGGTCGCGGTCCGTCGCGGTGCTCAGACGCTCAGCGGACGCGAATGGGACGGCCGCTGTGTGAGGGCGGGGCATGCGGCGGGTCCTGGCTGCCCTGGAGCGCTCGGGGCACGGGGCCAGGGCTGGACAAGGGTTGCTGCTGCTCAGCTTTTACATATAAAAACGACACTCCGTTCCTTTTCTGAAAGTTGTGTGCACTTTTCGCGATGCAACTGGCTGCATTAGGCTGATGGGAACTGCTTATATGGGACTTGCTATGTTACTCAGGATGACACTGGGCTGCGTGTGAAATACAACGTCGCTAGAATTTCGTACGTGAAATTGGACGTGCTTTAGTGATTTTCAGAATATGCCATTTTTACGCCATGTTGTGTTCAAAATTTATACTCTCCGATCCAGAACTCTAAACGAACGACCCAGTGCATACGCCCCCTCCGCAGTGTTGGCCTCGGCTAGCACGACCCCGTTCCACCAAGCCGCGTCAGTGCTCCTCATCGAACCGCTGGTTACATCCTTTTGTAGTCAGTGAAGGCCGCGGGCTATGCAGAATGCACCGGTTTTGTCTAGCTCGTACTCTCGCTTGAGACAATTTTCCCACACCGATAGCTGGGACGTTGGCTGAGCTGCTCCATGGCCGGTGTAGGACGGCAGGCTGGACCAGCCGTCCTCCATGGCTGGTGTAGGACGGCAGGCTGGACCAGCCGTCCTCCATGGCTGGCGTAGGACGACAGGCTGGACCAGCCGTCCTCCATGGCCGGTGTTGGACGGCGGGCTGGACCAGCCGTCCTTCATGGCTGGTGTAGGACGACGGGCGCCGATGTGAGCCGTCACATTCCAACCCAGCATGGATGACAGCGCTGTCACTGACTGGTCCAGTCTGAAGCCGCTGGTCGGCGTGTTGTCCTCTCTGGCCCGTCTTCATGCCTGTCTGACATTCGTCTGTCCGGCAGGTCTATGGTATCAGTCGGCCGCAGTCGTTAACCCCTCGTGCTATTGCCCATGGCGTGCTATTGCCCTTGTGACCCGCTGCTAAGCGGTGTGACCGGTCTGTGACCTTTGCGGATAGACCCTTCTCACACGCTGGCTGCCTGTCGCTGAGGCGGTGACCCGACCTGCCGCCCGCGCCGCTGTGCGGACGTGTTCATGACCCGTTGACGCGGTGCTGCTAACCCGCCCGCCGGCGCGGCTCAGCGAGGCGTGTGACTGACTCGGACGGACCCCTGTTGGGCCGCCGCGGCCCGTGTGCTGAGCCAGCGGCCGGGTCCGCTGTGGAGGCCGCCCAGTGAGCCGGCGCTAACCGGCGCGCCCGACCGGCCGGCAGGGGCCCGACCCCGAGCGGGTGAGCCGCGTGCGCCGCGACCACCTGAGCCCGGCGCTGCTGGCCTCCTTCCGGCGGCCGGTGATCATCCACCAGGGCCACATGCAGTACCTGTTCGACCACACCGGCCGACGCTACCTGGACCTGTTCGGCGGCATCGTGACAGTCAGCGTGGGACACTGCCACCCGTGAGTGGACTGTGGACTGCGCTGCGGCCCGGTCCTGTCGGGGGTCGTCAGGGATTCGGGATAGTACCCGCAGCGTGGGACACTGCCACCCGTGAGTGGACTGTGGACTGCGCCGCGGCCCGGTCCTGTCGGGGGTCGTCAGGGATTCGGGATAGTACCCGCAGCGTGGGACACTGCCACCCGTGAGTGGACTGTGGACCGCGCTGCGGCCCGGTCCCGTCGGGGGTCGTCAGGGATTCGGGATAGTACCCGCAGCGTGGGACACTGCCACCCGTGAGTGGACTGTGGACCGCGCCGCGGCCCGGTCCCGTCGGGGGTCGTCAGGGATTCGGGATAGTACCCGCAGCGTGGGACACTGCCACCCGTGAGTGGACTGTGGACCGCGCCGCGGCCCGGTCCCGTCGGGGGTCGTCAGGGATTCGGGATAGCACCCGCAGCGTGGGACACTACCACCCGCTAGTGGACTGTCGACCGCGCCGCGGCCCGGTCCTGTCGGGGGTCGTCAGGGATTCGGGATAGTACCCGCAGCGTGGGGCACTGCCACCCGTGAGTGGACTGTCGACCGCGCCGCGGCCCGGTCCTGTCGGGGGTCGTCAGGGATTCGGGAATAGCACCCGCAGCGTGGGACGCTGCCACCCGCTAGTGGACTGTGGACCGCGCTGTGGCCCGGTCCCGTCGGGGGACGTCGGGGATTCGGGCATAGCACTCTTAGCGTGCCGTCCTGGGCCGCATCTGTGTGGACTCGCCGGTCGCAAGCGCGGTCGAGCTGCAGGCTATCATGAGCTGCTACATCTACATCGAGATCTGGATGACAGTAGGTATGAAATTTATCGTGCGAATTGCCATCGGGCTAGAACTTTTAAGCTGACCCTCTCATGCATGAGTGTCAAGCTCTCCATAGTGGGTAGCTTAGTTCAGTTGGTAAAGCACTCGTTGTCGACCGTATGTGAAAAGGCATGGATTTGAACCTCGCTGCCGGCTCAGAGCTGCGTCCTGCTTACAACAGAGTCGTGCTTGCGTAGAGATAACGACGCTGAATAACCTGATATGTAGGCTGCGCCTTGGAACTCAACGTCAGGCGTTTCCGTGCCGGGGTCTCCTGTGGTGATCCGACCCTGGTGTGCCGCCGATGGCGTGCAGTGGCTGGCTGTCTTGGCTGCAGGAAGGTGACGGCGGCCGCTAGGGAGCAGATGGATCGGCTCTGGCACACCACCAACATCTACCTGCACCCCAAGATCCACGAGTACACGGAGCGACTGCTGGCCACCATGCCGTCCCACTTGCAGGTGGGTCGAGGCCGCGGGACTGGGCAACGGTGGTGCGACAGTCGCAGGGATCCGGTGATGACCTTGGAATTCACGATTGCCTCGGGCCCTCAGAAAGTTCCTGGAATTCTTGGATGAATGAGAGCTTTGCTGAATGAATTTCTGGAATTCTTGAATGAGATGAGAGCTTTGCCCATCGCCCCGAAGATCCTTGGCCGTATTCTGAGGGCTCCTATGGTTTGACTTGCATACTTTGTGTTACTTGGGACGGCATGCGACGGCTGAACAACTCGATTCAGACTACCTGTTAGCGGCCTTGGGACCCGCTGTCTGTTCTTGCACTCGTCGGCCGTCTCTAGCGCATCATCTGTTCCCGAGCTCGTGGTCGCTCATCTGTACTGGCCTTTTGAAGCCGTTTCACAAGAATCGTCTGAACCCGGGAAGCGACCCGTTTGTACGGCCGTGCCGCGACTACCCTCCCCCCCCCCCCCACTTCCCGGAACGGCAAACAATCCGTGCCCTCACACGTTGGTGACCGCTCCTACCGACGGGGACCACTCCGTTGTGACCAGTCACGCTCCTCTTCCGGCGTAGGTGGTGCACCTGGTTAACAGCGGCTCCGAGGCCAACGACCTGGCGGTGCTGCTGGCGCGGCTCTCCACCGGCCACTTTGACGTCATCTCGCTGCGCAACGCCTACCACGGCATGGGGCCGCACGGCATGGCGCTCACAGCACACAGCACCTGGAAGTACAACGTGGCGCACATGTTCGGCGTACACCACGTGAGTGACTGGGGCGGCGGGAGCGGCGGCTGCCGGGGGGGGGGGGGGGGGAGGAGGGACTGTCGGTGACTGGGGCGGGTGGGAGGGACGGACGGCCTGGACCATGAGTGTGGGGGGGGGGAGGGAGGGCGGCTGTCGGTGACCGGGGCAGGGGAGGGGGGCTGTTGGTGACTGGGGCGGGTGAGAGGGGCGGACTGCAGTGCCGACTATGGGGTGTGTGGGGCTGGAGCCATCCGTGATTGACCGGCGTACAATGGACCAGGTTTGCCGGTTCGAAACCAGCAGTTTGTCGACGGGGCGGCCGAATGGGACAATCCTGTGTCTTCTTTGGTTGTTTTTTATTCGCAGAGTCTAATCCTGGGCTTACTTGGGCTTAGAGATTCCAAGGAACCTGGGAAATGCTAGAAGAAGCAAACTAAGCAAGGGATGATACACCCTCTTCTGATGTTCGACCGTCTGAGCTAGAGCCTCGCAATGAGCCGCTACGAGTTGCTTGTGATGACGGGGAGCCATCAGCGTCCAGATCTACCGTTCTAAGCCAACTGGTGACCTAGGTCAAGGCTGTGATCCGAGCATGTATAGTTGCCCGTGGGGCGGCAATGTTCCGCTGACCTGACCTGACCTGACCTGACCTGACCTGACAGGCGATGAACGCCGACCCGTACCGCGGCCCGTGGGGCGGCGCCCGGTGCCGCGACTCGCCGGTGCAGACGGACCGTCACTGTGACTGCGCCGCCGGCCACTGCCAGGCCAGCCAGCTGTACGCCGACCAGCTGGCCGAGACGCTCCGCTACTCCTGCCCCAAGGGACGCGTGGCCGCCTTCTTCGCCGAGAGCATACAGGTGAACAGGTCCGCTGCTCAGAGTGGGGGGTCGGGGGGGGGGGGGGCGGGGGCGGGGGAGGGGACGGATACGTAGAGGTTGACGGCGTGCTGAGGTGACGCGTACAGGCTAAACGCGTGCTTGGCTGCGTTGGAGATGGAATCGTAGTGACTGTAGCTGTGTATGCCTGTACGCGCAGCCTGGCAGCTGAGTCCAAATAGACGCAAAGACCGGCCTCGTCTGGGGACTGTGTAGTGAAAGACGGCACCGCGCTAACCCCTCAGCAGTCCGCACGAAGAACAGCACCGTACGCTCTCTGGGACACCTCGGGGCCCAGATGAATAGCTCGGGTGGCGGCTAGGTACCCACTAGGGGGCGACACCGCCCCGCTCGGTCCTGCTCGCTCCAGGCCGAAGCCCTCCCGCTCGGGTCACGTGCGCCCGGACGGAGGCGACCACGCGGGACTCCGGGTTTTCGTGAGAGATTGACCCGTGAGAAAATCGTCCAACTTTGTGGCATCAGAGGGGACGGTAAATTCAGGCGCGATGTCAGTCACTTTCTGAGGGAGTGAAGTGCAGAGTTCGACAAAGTTTGGCCAGTAAAGTACGAAGTGGTTTGATCCTTCGTATGTGTAGCGATGTGATATTCTCTGCATCGGCGCTCCCTCGGCTGGGCCCGTCCCCGTCGGTATTCGGCGTGCGTGTCTCTGGGTGTGACTAGGGCCGCCTCCGCTCAGCGGGGCGTGCCCCCGTCGGTACTACGGCGTGCTTGTCTGGGGTGTGACTACGCTCAGCTGAGCGTGCCCCCGTAGGTATTACGGCGTGCGTGTCTTGGGAGGGGGCGGGGGATGCCCCCACTCGGCTGGCGCGTCCTCGTCAGCGTGCTGTCACGCTGTGCCACTGACAGGAGGCCCCGCCGGCAGGGTGTCGGCGGCACCGTCCAGTTCCCCATCGGCTACCTGCAGAAGGCGGAGGCCCTGGTCCGCGACCACGGTGGTCTGCTGGTTATGGACGAGGTACGGCCGGCACGGCCGCGTCACGGGCCAGGCGGCCGGATTCGGTCGCAGGGCGTTGGAAGGTCGAGGGGGAGCGTGTTTGTATCGTGTGGCGGGTGTGCATTTCATTATCATTATTGACTGCGTTGTCGTTTGTCATTGAACAGTGCGCAAGACTTGGATGTGAGGCATGGCTGCCACCATTAGGCTCCAAGGCTGATGGCCAAAAGCCGGATGACAAACGCCATGAAACACGTCATCGGCTAGTTCGTTCCACTGTGCTGTGATCCGTGGCGTGTTGTTAATGCAAACCATCTGCTTTTTGACTGCATGCTTTAGCGGTCTGGCTGGGCAAGAGTGCCAAATGTCAGCGGTGAATGCTCTGTGGAGCTGTTCGTCTCGGCAGCTCCGGCGGCCTCCCCGCGTGCGCCATCACGAGCCGCTCGTGCCCGGCGCACTGCCGACCTGTCCGGGCGACGCGCGCCGTCCGCGGCCCCCGCCCGGCGGCCTGTCGCCGACGTCAGCCGGCCTGCCGGCAGGTCCAGACGGGCTTCGGTCGCACCGGGGAGCACTTCTGGGCGTTCGAGGGTCACGGCGTGCGGCCTGACATCGTCACCATGGCCAAGGGCATCGGAAACGGCTTCCCCCTGGCGGCCGTGGTCACCACCAAGGAGGTGAGGCGGCGATGCCACGTGACCGGCCCCCTACAGGCGGGTCGGGCTAGCCGCCAGGCGTCGCGTGATGGCTTCGTATACTCGCTCAGCGCTTCCTATGCGTCGCTCTGTCACAATTTTCCGACAAAGGCCGGCTTCGTTTACTTACGATGGGACAATTGGCCGGAATTGATGTTGCTTGGCTGCCTGCCAGCACCAATTAATTCTCGCCAGTTGGAATATGCCTGATCTGGACCAGCGAGTGGGCGGCTTTTGATAGACGGTTTATGTAACCAAGGCCTCATAAATAATCTGAAATATCTGGGACTGAAACACGAAGATATGGATGCTTTAACATTAGACTGCTCTCCTTGATTGTAGTGACGGCTTCAAGGGAGCGGCCACGGGCCTGCCCTGGGTGGGACCTGCTGGGGCCCCGCGAGGAGGGAGAGGTTACGTTCCTTCGCAAAGCTGACCATCGCCTCAACTCCATCTGGTGTCTGTAAAAGCTCCAGCATGTCCCTGACGCATTAAAACGACCAAACAAAACGTGGCACGTGTCCTTATTGTCTTGTGTTGCTCTGAGGTCACACAGTTGTGTGTAGAGAGCTCACCGGGCATTGCGGGGCCTCCACCTGACCCGTCATTGTGCGCGCGAGGCGGATAGCCGCCGGTGAAATGGCTTTCTAGACATACAGCACGTCTTATAGTCTCAAGTCTCAAAATGTGCGCGTTGTTTGGCTCGAGTTACCTGAGAAGCTTTGCTGAAACGGCAACCGACCTGAGTTGGCCGACCGGGTGTTGGGTGCTGTAGCACTGTGAGACCGTACTGGAGTCCCGTTTCAACTCCGCATGGGAGAGTTGTCAGATATGAATTTGCCTAATAAGAACTGCTTGCGCAGCAGGAAACAGGCTGCTCTGTTGGGGCTCAGAGTGTTGTGTGGCTCATGATAAATCGGTCTATTTTGGTGTGTGCTGACAAAAACGTTTTTTTACGCGATGGTGGCGACTACCTGTTCAGCTGTCTGTTTGTGGTGCCTGCCCCCGTGCGGGAGGCGTGTACGGACCTGATCCGGTGGCACCTGACACCTAACACCTGTCGCCTGACATCTGTCGTCTGACGCCTGACACCTCTGACACCTGTCGTCTGACACCTGTCGTCTGACGCCTTCGTCTGTTGGTGCCTGCAGGTGGCGGCCAAGATGTCAGAGGCGCTGCACTTCAACACGTACGGCGGCGGGCCCGTCTCGTCGGCCGTTGGCATCGCTGTACTTGATGTGAGTGTGAGACGCCCGGGAGGCCGTCCCGGCGGCGTTGGCCAGCGGCCACACACGCCCCGTACACGGGCGGGGGCGGGAGGGACGTTTCCTGTCGGGTCCGCGCCGCTGAAGGGTGCTGGGTCGCGTCGCCGACTGTTTGGTGCGGTCGCGGCGGCGAGGGGCGAGGGCGGCGCGTGTGCAGCTGGGCGTGGCTTCGGTGCCCGGTTGTTGTGCTGAGCACCATGTCGCCAGTCTGGGTACAAGCGGGGCCACTTTCCATCTCGGCGCACCAACCTGGGCAGTCAGAGGTGCCCCGTCGGCGTCGCGGGTGGGTGGAGCGGGGGGATTTGGGTGGAACGTCAGGATCACAGTCTGCCTCGCTGCCATGTCCCCTGAGCCGCGGCAATGGTCTGGTGGTGGCCGCGTCAGGAGTTCGGGCTCGAAGCCCGTTTGCGCCATGGTCCCTGGCCCCGGTGGTTTAAGAGGCGTTTGCGGCAAGGTACATCACCTCGCTTTGTCATTGTGTCTTCTGTACGGAGCGTCGTTGATGAGCGGCGCCGACGCCGTGTGCACGTCTCACGCCCCCGCCGGCGCTGGCCAGGCGCTGGCCGAGGACGGCTGCCAGGAGCGCGCCGGCCGGCTGGGCACGCGGCTGCTGCACGCGCTGGCCCAGCTGCGCGACCGCCACCCGGCCGTGGGCGACGTGCGCGGCAAGGGTCTGATGATCGGCATCGAGCTGGTGGCGGAGCCGCGCGGCCGGCAGCCGCTCGGCACCGACGCCGTCGGCGACGTCTGGGAGCACGCCAAGGACCGCGGCCTGCTCGTCGGCAGGGGCGGACACTTCGGAAACGTGAGCAGCGGCACGCGGCCGCGCCGCCGCCGCCGACGGCGGTGTGGAGGGAATGTGCCTCCGGCTGGGCCGAACGCGCGGGCGACGCGGTGGGGAACGCCAGGGGACATCACGTGGCCGGGGAGCACAAGTCGGCTGGCAGGCGTAGCTTGTGTGTGGGTGGACTACCAGTCCGCTGCGCCCGTTTTTTACGTCCTGACTTTGGTGGCATGTTTAAGTTTGGAGATAAACGTGTTTGTGATGGTGTGATGCGTCGTTTTCTTCTTGCGTGTTGTTTCATGTGCTATTGCTGGTGCATGGATATACACATACGTTAAACTATACATCAGACCAGCATTGGTGCTGGAAATATTTCGCATCGTTAACGACTGTTTTGGCTAAAGGGCTGAAGAACAAATGCGTGCTATCAGGGTTGCTGTTTAGGTACCCTCATGGACGCATATTTGATTCGCTTACATCACAGTCAACATTGAGTCCACGCCTGTGGTGTCGGCGGTACGTGATGTCGGATGTGGTGTCGGCGGTGTGTGATGTCGGCTGTCCGCCGGTGCCGTCGGACGCCTGTGGTGTCGGTGGCGTGTGATGTCGGCTGTGGTGTCGGTGGCGTGTGATGTCGCCTGTGATGTCGGTGGTGTGTGATGCGGCTGTGGTGTCGGCGGTGTGTGATGTCGGCTGTCTGACGCCTGTGCTGTCGGCGGTGTGTGGGATGTCGGCTGTCCGCCGGTGCTCTCGGACGCCTGTTGCGATGTGACGTCGCCCGGCGACTGGTGACCGCCGCCTGCCCGTGCACGTGACCCGCTCGGCCGGGCCGGCAGGTGCTGAGGATCAAGCCGCCCATGTGCATCACGGACGAGGACGTGGATTTCGCCGTCGCTGTTCTGGACGAGGCGTTCACGGCTCACCTGCCTCAGTAGGCCTCCGGCCGCTGCTGCGGGGGCAGCCCGGCGTCGCCTCCAGTGGCCCGGGCGGTCCCCCAGGGATCAGTATGGCGCCGGCCTCTCGTGCTTGCCGCGCTATCCCCGCACACGTGCCAACTGGTATCTGGGAAAGCAAGCGATCTGTACCGAAAGGGGGTCGGCGAGGGGCGGGGGGGGGGGGGCCAGCGCGTGCGGGAGGTGGAGACGGCTTCTCGTACCGTCTGGCGTTCCACATGCGATCGAGCTTATTTGCTGCTCAGGGCTTGCGTTTGAGTGACACTGCCTGGGGATTTGTTATCGGGCCGTATACGATGTACAAGCATTGATATTCCAGTGGAGGGGATAGCCGTTACTTGTAGATGAACGTCATGCAGTTGGTGGTATTTTATTACCGTCATATTTATGCATTTCATGCATGCATTATGCCATTGTTGGGTTTATGGTTTTGTAATGCATGCTATGAGAGTGCATCGCTAAGTATCTATGACTGCTTATTCATTTGCTCTTTATCAGTGGTTGCAATGCACATGATCCCATCTAGATGGTCTTTATATTGCGCAGTCTGGTATATTTTTCCGCAGTTGAGAGCAATACATTTATTGTGTTCCAGCAGCCATTTTGATCATTGCCAGATTGCGTACTGGGTGAACGAGATCAGACCGTGAGCGACACACACACACATCATGGCTTACCTGACTTAGTCTTTACTAAATGGACACCGTCGCCCCCCCCCCCCCCCCCCCAGGTGGTACTTGTCCACACGTGGTGGCTGTTCCACTTCCGGGGAGGGGGGGGGGGGGGGGCTCTTCCGGTGGCATGAATTGAGCCCGTGCCCTCTGGAAGTGCCACCAGACCGGAGGGTCTCAAAAGGCAGGCCGTGCCCACGAACCCACCGCCGCTGCGCTGGCCGGCGCGGCATTACCGCCGCGATGCGGCGATCGCTCTCTTCTTACTGCCGTCTGCGGGATCGGAGCCGCTCAAGGAAAAGCCTATTGTAGGGAGGCCACGAACCTCCCGCCTAAACTGGCACGTGCACTAACCAGCTGCGCGACCAGGGTGGTGTTATAGAACAGCTTGCTTTGCTCGTTCAGTTGGGTGAGTCCAGTGCTGCGATCGGTTGTCCGCCCGCCTGTCTGAATGCCCCTCCGTGCCAGCTCCGCGCCACCTTATGTGCGCTTCCGTGCCAGCTTTGTACCACCTCATGGTGGCGTCGCGAGGCCAAAGGTCAAATTCGTTAGGTTAGAAAAAGGAAATGGAAGGTCAGCGATGGCGTGAAGAATTCCGGTCAATGCGTCTTCCAATCATAATCAAAACCTTTTCCACGGTACGTCCTCAGGCTGTTGTTAACGCTGATCGGGCCGTAGGCTTTACCGACGCCTCTCTACTGTTAATTATAGCTTTTGGGCGCGCCGACTGCGTAGGTCACATTGTGCCTTACCGGCGGCTCTCTGACTGCTCTTACAGCGGATCCTTAATGAAATCAAGTGCCAGAAATAAGTATTTGGTGTCGAACCCCGGTCGACTTCCCACGTGCGTCAGCTTGTTCATCTCTGTGCTGAAGAACAGCCGGGGCGTTACAGCACAAACCGATAGGTGGAGGGTCAAAATAATACACATTTTCAGTTCGCTGAAAGTAGCAGTGTGGCGTTGTCCTAGTCCGGAGTTCAGCTGTTTTAATTTAAGAAAGAGCGAATCAAGGTTTAGGAGCTATGGTGCATTTTTACACATACACTCATACACATAACAATGTGCCTGCATGCACACATGTATATATATATATATATATATATATATATATATATATATATATATATATGTCTCTCTCTCTCTCTCTCTCTCTCTCTCTCTCTCTCTCTCTCTCTCTCTCTCTCTCTCTCTCTCTCTCTCTCTCTCTCTCTCTCTCTCTCTCTCTCTCTCTCTCTCTCTCTCTCTCTCCTCTCTCTCTCTCTCTCTCTCTCTCTCTCTCTCTCTCTCTTCTCTCTCTCTCTCTCTCTCTCTCTCTCTCTCTCTCTCTCTCTCTCTCCTCTCTCTCTCTCTCTCTCTCTCTCTCTCTCTCTCTCTCTCTCTCTCTCTCTCTCTCTCTCTCTCTCTCTCTCTCTCTCTCTCTCTCTCTCTCTCTCTCTCTCTCTCTCTCTCTCTCTCTCTCTCTCTCTCTCTCTCTCTCTCTCTCTCTCTCTCTCCTCTCTCTCTCTCTCTCTCTCTCTCTCCTCTCTCTCTCTCTCTCTCTCTCTCTCTCTCTCTCTCCTCTCTCTCTCTCCTCTCTCTCTCTCTCTCTCTCTCTCTCTCTCTCTCTCTCTCTCTCTCTCTCTCTCTCTCTCTTCTCTCTCTCTCTCTCTCTCTCTCTCTCTCTCTCTCTCTCTCTCCCGCTCACGCCCAACTTTGTCGACCCTGCCAAGGCTGTTAATAATGGCGTGAGCAGGGCCGATATGTGGGAATGGTGACAAGGCCATAAAAATGAGATATTTGAAAGCATCGTTTTCATGAACAGATCTGTAGCATTGAATCTTACACCGGCACGGCCATGCACTAGTTGGCTGAAACTAAATATATAAATGCATCTCACGTCGTAGACTGCTGAGTATGTCAGCAATGTTTTTCTCTGACAATTTAGGCCAAATGGTTCTGTCTGAAGCAACGCTACTCACCAAAGTTGGCCCAATATAGGCCAAAATCTTCATCTGGCGATCTAATCACCCTTCCTATAAAGAAGTCGGACATAATTATCAATATCAAAAGCGTAATATGTTGTTTCCTTTTTCTCGTTCAGCTTAGCTATGACGTTTTGTTACTCCAGCGACGGCAATCTTTTTCCTCAAATACTGAAGCTCGTCCGCACAAATTACAGATCAATTTTCTTTCCCATCCGTAGTCAATCCCAATAGCTGAGTTGGCTAAATCACCGCTTTCCGATTTAGCTACTTGTGGCGGGGAGAATTCGACTCGCGTTATGCTCCCGTATTTAGCTCTGGCTGGCATGGGCCAAGCCAGAGTCAAATGTTCTGCAACGTTGTGCTGTGGTGCGTGACTACGCAAACCAAGTATCGCGCATGTAGCCACTCTCAATAACACATATACGTCATCAAATTGGTCGCGTCATACTTCGGAGGGGCTTGCGGGTGCGAGGATGCTCACTTCGTTGATCTGTACGTACTCATTGTGGATTTAAGCCGGAGAATATTGTGGACATGTCCCATTCGCTCTCGTGCAGCTCCAAGCGTCGTGGTACGTTAAGCTTCCGCCATATAATTCTTCCGTTCGCCCGGAGTTTCACGGTCGGATTGGCTTGTCAGGGTTCACGTGACAAACGGCACTTAGCCTGGACGCTGACCCGAAAAATGTATTCAATCATAAGGTAAGGACTAATTTTTATTGAGACGCCGCAATCGATTCCTTCGCTGTGTTTGGTATATCTTGCCGAATCAACGTTAAATGGCGATGTATGCCTACCGCATACGCGCCTGATATGCAAATAGAGCCGGCCGCATACACACTGTCGAAAGAATGCACCGACCATCAATCACTCCACCCCTCTGACCTGTCTGCTGCCGAGGGCATGCGCCGGGATCAGGACTGTTCGGCGCAACAGCTAGGTGCTGCAGTACAGTCTAAGGTTCCAAAATTTACCTCCGAGAAATGAGTCACACGGAACCGTGATGGGACTTAATTGTTGCTGTAAGTGTACCTACTGGCCGCGTATAGCCATCCGGTATCACGCTCGGTAAGAGTAAGGTGAGGTAGGAGGGGGAGAGACAAGTGCCTCTCCGCCCCCCCCCCCCCCCCTTGTTCTCGCCTCTATGGCGTGGTGCCTCGCGTATCGCTGCGGATCGCCCGTCGCGCTCACTACGCTTACGAGCCGGATAACAACTTGGACTGCATCGACCACATGATCTCAGTTCCAGCGAATGTAGAGATGGACGGAGGTTATGACAAATGAAGGAAAGGAAGACGGAAAGAAAAGGTCATGCGCGGAAAGAATTGTGTTCGCGACAACGTGAAGCTGCATTAGCGCCGATGGCGGCCGTAATCAAGTCCCCTGCTATCAGCCTGAAACGGCCGCCATTGCCGGTAAATGGTGCGATGAGACGGCCACCAATCTCCGGCGCCGGGCAGACAGTGGCGGTGGGTGATCGATGCCCCCTGCTGGCAGCCCCACCGGCAGTAAGGTGACGCTGTCCCGCACCCCGATGGTCGGAGGCGTCCGGCCATCAGGGTCCGGCCCCTGCCCCGGTGATGGCCGACACCAGCTCGGGCGGCGGCCGAGCGCTCCTTTGGCTCACAGCAGGGGCAGGCTGGCTCAGAGTCGGGCACAGCCGCGGACCGCCGCCATTGTCGCTCTGCTCGAGTCGGGCTCATGCCGTGCAGCCGCTGGGACGGAGCCGGGCCCGCACCGCGGGGCCGCCGGGACGGAGCTGAACTCGCGCCACCAAGTTGTGGCGCCCGGCCCCGGCGAGCCAGATGGCTCGCCTCCCATGGCTCGGTGCCGGAGCCATGGGAGGTGTACCGGGCTCCCATGAGCCATGGGAACCCGGCATGCTGTCCGTCTGCGCGGGGTCCGGCTGGCGGCTGCCCGGATCGTCAAACGAGCGGCACCGCTACTGTATCGCTGCCGCTCCTCCCAACGAGCTCGAATCGTATGCGACAGCGCACACAGCACTGATTAGCCCAGCCAGGGGAGCGCATCGCCTCGTTCTAGCTCCATTTCAACTCAGAAAGCCAAGAGAGGACACTGCTGTGCTTCAAATCCGGTCTGGCTCGTCAAGCCAGGAGAGGGTAACGTCGTGATTCAATTCCTAGTTCAAGCCAGTAGAAGGCACCATCGTGCTGTAACTCCTAAGTCGTCCAGTCAGAAGAAGGAACCTTCCTTCTCGTCACCTCTTGAACTCTTCAAGTTAAGAAAGAGCGTCTACGCGGCAGCTTCTTTCTAACTTGTCAAGCTGGAGTTTGTTCTTATAAATAAGAATACGAATCTAAGCACTTCTAAATTGCGTGTTGTCTAAACCAGCCAGAACGAAATACGAACCAGAACAGTCTCGACTTTGCTTGATATTGCGGTTCTTAGTGCGCTGATAACAAGTGCATGCTAGTTGCACTAGGTTATTTTTAGCCTATAGGCTTATGCGGCTCAGATCAGAGTGCGTAGGTTCGCATTTTCGTGTTATGA